TTTAGAACTGATAGAGCTACCCAGTATAAATAAAGTTAGTTTAGCTTAGGTTTCCTCCTGTAGTAACACTGGATCAATAAGAGATGATCCTTACTGGACCTCTAGGGAGAACAGTTTAGAACTGATAGAGCTACCCAGTATAAATAAAGTTAGTTTAGCTTAGGTTTCCTCCTGTAGTAACACTGGATCAATAAGAGATGATCCTTACTGGACCTCTAGGGAGAACAGTTTAGAACTGATAGAGCTATCCAGTATAAATGAAGTTAGTTTAGTTTAGGTTTCCTCCTGTAGTAACACTGGATCAATAAGAGATGATCCTTACTGGACCTCTAGGAAGAACAGTTTAGAACTGATAGAGTTATCCAGTATAAATAAAGTTAGTTTAGTTTAGGTTTCCTCCTGTAGTAACACTGGATCAATAAGAGATATTCTTACTGGACCTCTAGGAAGAACAGTTCAGAACTGATAGAGCTATCCAGTATAAATAAAGTTAGTTTAGTTTAGGTTTCCTCCTGTAGTAACACTGGATCAATAAGAGATGACTCTTACTGGACCTCTAGGAAGAACAGTTTAGAACTGATAGAGCTATCCAGTATAAATAAAGTTAGTTTAGTTTAGGTTTCCTCCTGTAGTAACACTGGATCAATAAGAGATGATCCTTACTGAACCTCTAGGAAGAACAGTTTAGAACCGATAGAGTTATCCAGTATAAATAAAGTTAGTTTAGTTTAGGTTTCCTCCTGTAGTAACACTGGATCAATAAGAGATGATCCTTACTGGACCTCTAGGAAGAACAGCTTAGAACTGATAGAGCTATCCAGTATAAATAAAGTTAGTTTAGTTTAGGTTTCCTCCTGTAGTAACACTGGATCAATAAGAGATGATCTTACTGACCTCTAGGAAGAACAGTTTAGAACTGATAGAGCTATCCAGTATAAATAAAGTTTAACTTTTCAATTTTAATTTAGTGGGAAATTCTTCGTCGTTACGTGTGGCGGTCTACAATGTGTTGTTGCTGTGGTCCAACCAAGGCCAAAACCAACCCGTTCCCAGACTCTGACCTGGATCAGGTCGAGAAGAGATTTCATGAATTCACCAGACGGACGTCTACTACACCGGATTTTTATCCCCCTGGGAAAGTGCTCCATCTGGCTAAAGTAAAGTCGTTCAAGGGGTAGGTTTTAATTACAATGTTGAAAAGTTTTCTAGATGGAAATTTCACCCTAGTATATATACGTCAACTTGTTGTTAGAGCTCGCCCCATTGTCTCTCTGTAGTTGTGACAATGCTGTTCCAACAACTTGTCAACAAGGTGTGTTTGCAATAGGTTTGTAGCAAGCTTGTTAACAAGTTGTGACAATGCTGTTCCAACAATTTGTCAACAAGATGTGTTTGCAATAGATTTGTAGCAAGCTTGTTAACAAGTTGTTACAATGCTGTTCCAACAACTTGTCAACAAGATGTGTTTGCAATAGGTTTGTAGCAAGCTTGTAAACAAGTTGTAATAATGCTGTTCCAACAACTTGTCAACAAGATATGTTTGCAATAAGTTTGTAGCAAGCTTGTTAACACGTTGTGACAATGCTGTTCCAACAATTTGTCAACAAGGTGTGTTTGCAATAGGTTTGTAGCAAGCTTGTTAACAAGTTGTGACAATGCTGTTCCAACAATTTGTCAACAAGATGTGTTTGCAATAGATTTGTAGCAAGCTTGTTAACAAGTTGTTACAATGCTGTTCCAACAACTTGTCAACAAGATGTGTTTGCAATAGGTTTGTAGCAAGCTTGTAAACAAGTTGTAATAATGCTGTTCCAACAACTTGTCAACAAGATATGTTTGCAATAAGTTTGTAGCAAGCTTGTTAACACGTTGTGACAATGCTGTTCCAACAATTTGTCAACAAGGTGTGTTTGCAATAGGTTTGTAGCAAGCTTGTTAACAAGTTGTGACAATGCTGTTCCAACAATTTGTCAACAAGATGTATTTGCAATAGATTTGTAGCAAGCTTGTTAACAAGTTGTGACAATGCTGTTCCAACAACTTGTCAACAAGATGTGTTTACAATAGATTTGTAGCAAGCTTGTTAACAAGTTGTGATAATGCTGTTCCAACAACTTGTCAACAAGATGTGTTTGCAATAGGTTTGTAGCAAGCTTGTTAACAAGTTGTGACAATGCTATTCCAACAATTTGTCAACAAGGTGTGTTTGCAATAGGTTTGTAGCAAGCTTGTTAACAAGTTGGGACAATGCTATTCCAACAGACTTGTTAGAACAACCTTGTAACATTCTTGCTGTATCATGACTGTATCAGACTTGTTAGAACAACCTTGTAACATTCTTGTTATATCTTGACTGTATCAGACTTGTTAGAACAACCTTGTGACATTCTTGCTATATCATGACTTTATCAGACTTGTTAGAGCAACCTTGTAACATTCTTGTTATATCATGACTGTATCAGACTTGTTAGAACAACCTTGTAACATTCTTGTTATATCATGACTGTATCAGACTTGTTAGAACAACCTTGTAACATTCTTGTTATATCATGATTGTATCAGACTTGTTAGAACAACCTTGTAACATTCTTGTTATATCATGACTATATCAGACTTGTTAGAACAACCTTGTAACATTCTTGTTATATCATGACTGTATCAGACTTGTTAGAACAACCTTGTAACAAGCCTGATAATGCCATCAAGCATGTTACAAGTTGTGAACAGCTGTTCCGAACTTGTTACAACAACTGGGAACAAGCAGTGCGAACACAACTTGTCGACAGCTTGTGAACAGATTTAGGTAGATAGGTAAAACTTTATTTAACTACGCTAACCCCTACAGCGAAAGCTGATTTCCAGGGGGCGTAGATAACAAGGTTATCCCAAAAGGGGCGTTGTAACAACTTGTTTGCAGACCTGTAACAACTTGTGCGTTTTTATGTGTGTATAACATTTAGATTTTCCTCAATTTTCCACAGGCGTTGCTGTAACAAGAAAAGTGTATTCGAACCGTTCTGGTCCAGCAGCGTGGACTTCGAACAGATTCTCATCTCAAGTCTGATGTGGGCCGATCATATGCCCGACTTCGTTTTAAAAGTTCTCAAAGATACTTTTGAAAGGCTTAAATGTGACGAAGACAAAGGAAGCACTTCGTCACCGCCGTGTAGACAACCTCATCACGGATTGCAGAGGTGCTTGAGCGATAACGGATCGTGCTATATAACCGTCTTGGATTCCCCAACAGGTGAGGACAATAGCATCCCGTGGTTTGTGTCTGAACAACCTACACACGCAAAAATCTCACATCTTGTAGCAAGTCTGCCAACAAGCCGTCAACAAGTTGTGTTCGCACTGCTTGTCCCAAGTTGTCAACAAGTTTTTGGAATAAGCTGTTAGCAACTTGTAACAAGCTTGTTGATATTATCAGACTTGTTGCGAGGTTGTTCCAAAAAGTCCGATACAGTCATGATATAACAATATTGTTACAACCTTGTGTCGTCAAACTTGTGACATTCTTGTTATATCATGACTGTATCAGACTTGTTAGAACAACCTTGTAACATTCTTGTTATATCATGATCGTATCAGACTTGTTAGAACAACCTTGTAACATTCTTGTTATATCATGACTGTATCAGACTTGTTGGAACAAACTTGTGACATTCTTGTTATATCATGACTGTATCAGACTTGTTAGAACATCCTTGTGACATTCTTGTTATATCATGGCTGTATCAGACTTGTTAGAACAACCTTGTAACATTCTCGTTATATCATGACTGTAACAGACTTGTTAGAACAACCTTGTAACATTCTTGTTATATCATGACTGTATCAGACTGGTTAGAACAACCTTGTAACATTCTCAGTTATACCATGACTGTATCAGACTTGTTAGAACAACCTTGTAACATTCTTGTTATATCATGACTGTATATCAGACTTGTTAGAACAACCTTGTAGCATTCTTGTTATATCATGACTGTATCAGACTTCTTAGAACAACCTTGTAACATTCTTGTTATATCATGACTGTAACAGACTTGTTAGAACAACCTTGTAACAAGTCTGATAATGCCATCAAGCTTGTTACAGGTTGTTAACAGCTTGTTCCAAACTTGTTACAACAACTGGGAACAAGCAGTACGAACACAACTTGTCGACAGCTTGTGAACAGATTTGTAACAACTTGTTTGCAGACCTGTAACAACTTGTGCGTTTTTACGTATGTGTTATATATATTCACTCATGTATAGATAATTCTAATGACTAGATACCTTTGTGCTGTAACCATGGATTATAAAATAAATGGATAGGACTCTAGCTGACGTCACAGTCTAAACCTAGTTGCAATCTGTGACGTCACGCGCATTGCCAAAGTTCTCGGCATTTTTGTTGTTTCGCTATACTTTCCGCTTTAAAAGAGTAATATTGAAGCATAAACTGGTCTAACTGTTTTAAAAACATGCCTAAGCCACGACAAAGTATTCAAGGTAAATGTTTTTCGTCTTTGTTTTGTATTTTTTTACATTTGTAGCTACGAAATTGGCGTCACCAATTCTAACGAAATTTGGAATGCATTTTTCACTGTTTAGTGCTTGAAATATTTGCTAAAATTGACTGGAAATACTTAGAGATTTCATCGTAGAATGGCGTAGTTATATTTGTTTGCTCTTTGGCTAAAATGTTTAACTGTATTATTGCTAAACATGCCGTTTTTGAGAATTTGGTTTACAACTAGGTTTCAACATCCAACCACGCCATCATCCCATTGAAAACATTAGGTCACGTCAGCTAGTTTCCTATCCATTTATTTTATTATCCATGCTGTAACTAGGCATGTAAGTTATTATGTTAGTTGGGAAACGAAAACAAGAACAACAGTTGCATGAGAGTTGACAATTTTTCATTCATACCCCAGGTGCTATAGTTGACCAGCCAGGCGATGTGGACCTGACGTTCGTGTGAATCTATCGTGTTTGGCCAAATTGAGGTTGTCGGTTGAAGACGAGATACCCATTCAGATGGAGTGAAAGACCCGTATAGAGTTCCCACAATTGAATCGAAGTGTATGTATACAAATTTCTATCGTATATAAGTATTGTTTTACCTATAACGTCCAATTTAATGGTACGCCAATTAAATGCGTCCGGTCCCCTTTTTCAAGCCATTCGCAAATTGGTTCTCTTGATCATATTAATTTTGGATTGGTTATACGCGCAGAGGTAATCGCTTGAAAAACGCTTGCTTGTATGTTCGGCAAAGTAGCGCACAAGATAGAATAATTGCTCATTTGCGCTAGGACAGAGCTGTGACATCATATATAAATTGCGCGCTCCAAAAATATGACTCAGTATTAGGATCCAGGCTATTTCGTTTGACCGAAATTGTATGCGCAAAAATTAACTGTAAATTTGATTAAAGTATCCTTACAAATTTAACGTAATTAAGCAATTACAATGTCAGCTTAATTCATTGAAAATAAGCTTAGCTTTTAATAACTGGTTATAAATATTTTAGATCATAGTATCTTAAATGTAATATATATATAGTAAATTTGAAATTGAGAGGGATTCGTTATAGCATATCACAAAGTTGTTATTTTTTCAAAAGTTATTTTACTTTATATATTTAATTAAATGATATATAAAACTACGGTAAAAAATATAAAATTAATTTTCCATTGTATAGCCAGAATTGACTCGCTCGCTACTAACAATACAAAATAATAATTTGGTTTAGTTTTAATTTAGATTTAGATTTATTGAATTTAGTTGTTGCGTTAATAAAAAGAGCTAACAAATATGTAAAATTCTATAATTGTATATTTAATATATTTAAATAATGCAAAAAAAAATGTTGTGTGATGTTTTTATTATTAATTACTGTTGTGTGATGTTCTTATTTTTATTTACATACAAAGTTGACATTTGCATCTTATTATATACACGTATAAATTAGACAAGCTTTATTCCGATTTCCACTCGAGGCCAATGATTTGGAAGAAACGATTCTGCGTCTTGTGATGTATGTTGTCAAGATGGCGGCATTAAATTGGCAAAGCTATTGTACAGATTGCGGCAAAATGTTATCTATTGGTTTTTATAAGGAAGGGTAAAAAATTAAACTAAAGGAGCGGTCACTATTAATGGCGGGGGGTGGCGTCGAAGAGAAAAGGGTTGGGTAAACAAAATTTTGAGTGAGTAAAAGGTTGGGTAAATGAAAAACAGAACAACTCAAGGGTTGGGTAGTAAAAATTTATTATCATTTCCAAAGCATGACTCAATCAAATATTGGAGACTAAACAGCAATGTCAACAGTCATATGTCAATACAATATGTAAATCAATCAGAGTCACTATCTTGATCAGTTTCCGATTTGTCAGGAGGCAAATGGTGTCTCCAAAGAAAGTACATGTGCAGACAACATGAAACTTTAGACTGCAGAAAATTGCACAAGCAGTTATCAAACTCGTGTCACAGAAGTGGTAAAGGACATGTGTGACAACTGAATGGTATCCTTTTGTAAAGTTTTTGGCCAGGGGTGGGTATTTATTTTTTAATTGATATTTGAGGCTGGGTAAAACTTTTTTTGACTTTTTTAATGGCTGGATCAGCAACATTTTTACCAAGAAAAACATTTCTCTTCGGTACCAAGGCCCCTCCATAAATAATGACCGCGCCCTTACAGATCGCATGGTCGGAAAGAACTCAGATTATTATAAAGTACTATATAGTCTCGAGTGAAATTCGCAATATATAAGTTCAGAAACCACATGAAGTCATCGCAGCTTTTGTGAAATGTTTTTTCTCCATGAATGTAAAAATAAGTTAGTTCTACCCTATACCATCCCACCAGTTCCGACGAACGCAAGGATTGCGCTCTCTCGGACCTACATGTGTGCTCTGCTACGCCGCTTACGTTAAATAATATTCTCCAAACATTACACCCTAGCAGCGGCGTTATTTTAACGAGACCTGTCGCTTTTTGTCGTGTTTTAACTTCGAAAATACGTTCAAGTAACGAACGTTTGTCTTTTTTGTCCTTGGTAATGAGTTCACTTTCTTAACCGAGGGTTTCCAGCGAACCTTTCGACGTCTGACGCCTTCCAGAATTGCGGAGAAGGCCGCGCGGACATTATCTAACTCCTCTGAGGCCGAGAGTTCAAAGAAAAGACATCCTAATTGATGAGCGGCTGTGTTCCCTTCCTCTCGTGGAACTGTAGAAAGAGAGGAATAATTCATTAAAAATCATAAAGTTATATTGCAGACTAGATTTAAACTAAACTAACTTTATTAAATATACTGGATAGTTCTATCAGTTCTAAACTGTTCTTCCTAGAGGTTCAGTAAGGATCATCTCTTATTGATCCAGTGTTACTACAGAAGGAAACCTAAACTAAACTAACTTTATTTATACTGGACAGCTCTATCAGTTCTAAACTGTTCTTCCTAGAGGTTCAGTAAGAATCATCTCTTATTGATCCACTGTTACTACAGGAGGAAACCTAAACTAAACTAACTTTATTTATTCTGGATATAGCTCTATACTGGATATTGCTCTATAAGTTCTAAACTGTTCTCCCTAGATATCCAGTAAGGATTATCTCTTATTGATTCAGTAATCAAGTTATTAAGAGAAGAATCTTTTGTATGTTACGTAACACGCGCTCAAGACTAATGAATGTACTTTTCCACTTGGTTATGACTATATTCAAATTTTTAAATTTTTGATTCGTTTCTCAAGCGACAAACAAACTTTAAAAAGTATGTTTAGTGCTTTATCTGTAAAATTATGCTAAAATGAAGAGATTTTAGATGGTACGCCAAAGAGAAAATGATGTATGAAGTTCAGTTTTCCTTCTATTGCTGTATAAATATGGCGTCAATAATTTTGCATTAATGATAATTGTATTTAAATTGACAATATTTAACTATTATTTTGTGTTTCTCAACCGCCAGATACATTAAAAAAGGTTGCTAACTGTGTAAACTACAAAATAAAGCCAAAACAAAGTAATTTTGAGAGGAGCGCCAAAACGATTTAGGTTTTGAAAACTTAAATACGATCCTAGAATCTCACCTGATCTAAAATGCTCTAAATCTTTTTTATTTCCAACCAAAGCAATCACGACGTCCTTCGTTTTCTTTTGTTCATGAATAGCAGAGATTATTTGTAATGCTGAGTTAAAACTCGTTCTATCTGTTATGGAATACGTCACTGCAAACCCTTCACCCCAGGAGATGGATTTGATGTCTTTTAATGACGATTGTTCTACCTAGAGAGAGACAAGAGCATCAAGTTAGATATGTGTCCGTATTAGAGAGGTGTCTGTATTAGAGAGGTGTCTGTATTAGAGAGGTGTCTGTGTTAGAGAGGTGTCTGTATTAGAGAGATTTTTGTATTAGAGAGGTGTCCATATTAGAGAGGTGTCTGTATTAGAGAGGTGTCTGTATTAGAGAGATGTCTGTATTAGAGAGTTGTCTGTATTAGAGAGATGCCTCTATTAGAGAGATGTCTGTATAAGAGAGGTGTCTGTATTAGAGAGGTGTCTGTATTAGAAAGGTGTCTGTATTAGAGAGGTGTCTGTATTAGAGAGGTGTCTGTATTAGAGAGGTGTCTGTATTAGAGAGGTGTCTGTATTAGAGAGCGTTTTGTATTAGAGAGGTGTCCATATTAGAGAGATGTCTGTATTAAAGAGATGTCTGTATTAGAGTGATGTCTGTATTAGAGAGGTGTCTGTATTAGAGAGATGTCTGTATTAGAGAGGTGTCTGTATTAGAGAGGTGTCTGTATTAGAGAGATGTCTGTATTAGAGAGGCGTCCATATTAGAGAGATGTCTGTATTAGAGAGATGTCTGTATTAGAGAGGTGTCTGTATTAGAGAGATGTCTGTATTAGAGAGGTGTCTGTATTAGAGAGGTGTCTGTATTAGAGAGATGTCTGTATTAGAGAGGCGTCCATATTAGAGAGATGTCTGTATTAGAGAGATGTCTGTATTAAAGAGGTGTCTGTATTAGAGAGGTGTCTGTATTAGAGAAATGTCTGTATTAGAGAGGTGTCTGTATTAGAGAGGTGTCTGTATTAGAGAGATGTCTGTATTAGAGAGGTGTCTGTATTAGAGAGGTGTCTGTATTAGAGAGGTGTTATTAGAGAGGTGTCCGTCTTATTAGAGAGATTTCCGTATTGGAGAAATGTCCCGCATAGTTTAGAACTGATAGAGCTATCCAGTATAAATAAAGTTTTAAAATCCTAACCTTTTTTAACGTGGTGTCGCGTACTTCAAACGTTATTGTATCCTGAGCACTAAGTGATATTTTTCTTGAATATATGCTTTCTACAAATGAAACAAAAAAGCTTTCAAACCCTGCAACCACGGAAAATTGATCAAAGATTACCCCTCATGAATGAAACAAAAGAACGTTTGTTTAGTGTTTATGTAATTCAGTACAATTCTCTTATCTACGATGATAGACGCTAATGTGTTTGATTAGACAAACATTATTAGACCTCGCATTCCAAACAAGTTTTCTATTTCAATGGCCATAGTGACAGAAAATTTTGCTCATTAACTTCGCAGTTGACAGAATTGAGGCGTTCTTAATGATCTTAATTCCTTTTACAGTTGTGCAAGGATGCATTACGTCTGCTCGTGACAAAAAAAACGCAGACGGCTTGCGTTATTGGACGTGCGAAAAATTTAATATTGCGAAGTCTGGTGTGATTGAACTTGTCTATTTTTATGAGAGCGCGCTATTGACAAGTTCGAGGGGACGCCCACACCAAACCACGTTGCATAATGAAAGCCTTTGTGTCAATAGAATATAAAGCCATGTTTACACTACGAGCCTAAGCCTGACCTTGGCCTACCTTTAGACTAGATTTGTGTAGTGTAAACGTACTTCGGCCTGGCTTAGGCCAGGAAATCTGGGCCACCTGTTCTGATGGACCCAGATTTCCTAGCCTTGCCCAGGTCGAAGTGCGTTTACACTACACAAATCTAGTCCAAAGGTAGGCCCAGGCCAGGCTTAGGCTCGAGCGTAGTGTAAACACGGCTTAAGAAGGTCAGGAAAGTCGATGCAGATATAAGACTTCATTATTTGCCGGTATCAAAAATTAAAAATTTTGAACGTAGTGATAGGCAGGCGTCATAATAATAATAATAATAATAATAATAATAACGGCTTATTGACCGAGCGCGAAGTCTGTACTGTGAAATATCAGACCGAGGTTTTTTAGTATGGACCGAGCGACGTAGAGCGAGGTCCATGCAAAAAAAACAGAGGTCTGATATTTCACAGTACATACCGAACAAGCGAGGTCAATAATCGGTTTATTATATGGCTGAACTGAGTCTGTGAGCATAAGCTTTTCGCGCGAATTAAATCGGCTATCGTCAGTTTCACTGCAGGGTAACAATATACGGTAGGCATGCATGCTCAATCAAAAACAATTTTGTTTTACAGGTAAAGCACAATTGGAAAATTAAAAAGCAAACCGGTCCAGTACGGAAAATACGGACCACGGCCTGGATATGGGTTTTTACGGACCGCTTGTCAACCAATCAGAATAGAGAATTTTGAAAAGCCATAAATAATTTGTTTATCCAGGGATTTTATCATTTCTAAATTATGCATGCCTAAACATACTGTTTAACCTTGGTTTCCATACGGCAAGGGTGGGTTGTAGCGAAGTAGTTGTAGTTCGCTACTGTAGCGAACTACAATTTTCAAGTAGCCAGTAGTTTTTGACTGCTTTATTAAAACAGTAGCTGTAGTTATAGCGAACTACATTTTGCCTAAAAGTAACCAAGTAGTTGACTACTTTTCAAACAGCAAATCGCTATTCGCTACTTTTTGATAGAATAGCATGATATTGAGACACGGTTTGCTCAGTTAAAATCAATACTCAATAGTCAATTTGCACTCCTGAACACTGTATATAGTGCTTACAAAAATGTTGCTTTGTGTTTACTGTTGCTACTCGTAAGTCGATTTGTTATAGGTTACATTTCAGTCTGAGTTAGTAGATGCTCCAAATACAGTAAAACTAAAAAATATAGCGTAGCGAAATAGCGAAATAGTTCGCTACATTTTTTAAGCAGTAGCTGTAGTCAGTAGCGAACTACCTTTGTTCAAAAGTAGCAGTAGTTGTAGCTGTCTACAAATTTTTGAAGTAGCTGTAGTTATAGCGAACTACAAACATTTTGTGGTCAACCCACCCTTGCCATACGGTCGTATTAAAAGACCCGTAAAGATTGAGTCACGAACTTTCTCATCAGCCGAAATACAACATTTTAGAACTGAGTGATTAGAATTGTATTGTATTTTCGCCAGAGCAACCAATAATAGCTATGTTTTCATTTAACCATTGTGTATAATATCACGACTGGGTAATTAACGGTGAACCGAGCATTTCTCGCATCATAAACCAAGACACGAATATAGATAATCTTAGAATGTTTAGTGCAGAATCTATAAAGTAATGTTAAATTAAAGAGATTTGAGATGGTATACGCTTTTCGAATAGCGATTAGCAGAACTTCTACTGTTAGCGCGTGTCGATTTCTTGAAACGATTTAATTGATTTGTGAGCTGACGAGAAAATTCTCAGAATGCCTTAGTTCAATATCATGGTTAAATATGTAAACATGTCGAGGTTGTTATACAGCCATATTTTCAAATATACTGTACTTTAACAAGCAAATTTACTGTACTGTGCTACAGCAACTGTCCAGTCACGCATGCGTGATAAAAAGCCGATATAAACGTTATAAACAAAAGATAATGTAAAACGTAACAGAACGGCGAACATGCAGATTCGGCCATCTCAAATAATGGTAATGTTGGGATAGTAGCGTTGCAGACTGCAGAGGAGAGTGGGCAGTAAGGCTCCCTCATTCACCACCCCATGGAAAACCTGCACCCCTCCTTGCAGATGAGGCTAGATCTGCCCCTGGACTTAGATTAAATTAAGAAAGATAAAGAATAATTTTAGGATCTGA